CTTCGTGTCACAGTCTGTAACCTTGCCTACAGCCACGTTGCATGTCCAGTACAAGGGCTGGTCAGGAATGTGGACTTTTGCAGTCTATGACAATTATCCCATCCCTATGCTACCGGGGGAAGACTTGGCCAACCATGTGACGTTAGCCAAGAGGGTGGGAATAGTCACCCACAGCCAGGCTAAGCAAGCCTCCACCCCCATCCCTGTTCCTGAGCTGTCTCCCAGGGCCCCGTCTGTGTTACCAGAGACCCAGACAAAGGTGATGGAACTGGATCCCCTGCCAACGACTGCAACAGCCGTAGTGGATCCAATCCCAGAGACCCAGCCAAAGCCAGTCCCGGAACTGGCAACGCAACCAGCACCAGAACCATGGCCAGCACTGAGTCCAGCGCTTGCAAACCCGTCTACAACTCCAATGCCAGAGGGCACTAGCGAGCCTGAACTGGCAGAAGCAGCAGATAACCCTACCCAAGAGGCTCAGCCAGAGCCTGAAATACAACATAGCGCGACAGCGGTTCACAGTCAATGGAAACAGCCCCAGCACCTGCATCGCTTCCAGAGGGACCAAGCCCAAGTCCGCAGTCCAAGGAAGAACTGATGTCTCCAGCATCAAGGGAACAGTTCCAGGCCGAGCAGGAAGCAGATGACAGCCTTCAGAAAGCTTGGGCGGCGGCGCGGAGCACCCCACCGCCTCTCAGCTCTTCTAACCGATCCCGGTTTGTTGTAGAACAAGGACTTTTATACAAGGAGACTCTTTCTGGTGGGCACCAGGAAGACTGGCATCCTCAAAGACAGTTGATAGTTCCCACTAAGTATCGGGTAAAGCTCTTGAGCTTAGCCCATGATCATCCCAGTGGCCATTCTGGGGTGAACAGAACCAAAGACCGGTTGGGGAAGTCCTTCCACTGGGAGGGAATGGGCAAGGACGTTGCTAATTATGTCCGGTCTTGTGAGCTGTGCCAACGAGTGGGAAAGCCCCAAGACCAGGTCAAAGCCCCTCTCCAGCCACTACCCATAATTGAGGTCCCATTTCAGCGAGTAGCTGTGGATGTTCTGGGTCCTTTCCCAAAGAAGACACCCAGAGGAAAGCAGTACATATTGACTTTCATGGATTTTGCTACCCGATGGCCGGAAGCAGTACCCTTAAGCAACACCAGGGCTAAAAGTGTGTGCCCGGCATTAGCAGACATTTTTGCCAGGGTAGGTTGGCCCTCCGACATCCTTTCAGATTCGGGAACTAATTTCCTGGTAGGGACCATGAAAAACCTGTGGGAAGCTCATGGGGTGAATCACTTGGTTGCCACCCCTTACCACCATAAAACCAATGGCCTGGTGGAGAGGTTTAATGGAACTTTGGGGACCATGATATGTAAATTCGTAAATGAACACTCCAATG